AACTCTGTGTCTGCTGCACATGTCAGCTGGAATTCAAACTATTTTTTCTATGTTTGTCTTCATTTTTTGTAATGTTTATGATTTTCTGATTTCCTATTTATTCTACAACCCAAAATTTCGCCAAGATTGTCGAAAAAAGGGTGCGTAATGCGCCTTTTCTTGCTTGTTTCACTTTTTCGTATTGCTTTTAATTTTCCATTTCCACTGATTGGTTGTCCAATCCCTTAGGAGACACATTCTGTAATGGCATACAATTTAAATTTGGGACCTGAACCCCAGTTTTAAAGGAGGTTCAAAAAGTCGGGACCAGGCCCGGAATAAACCGTTCACATCTGGATTTACCTCTGTGCATAAATTAAATTGGGACCTGATGCTAGTAGATTTTCGCAAGTGTGAACCCCTAATTGTGGGAGTTCTTAGGTGAAAAGCTAATAAAATAAAGTGCTTCTAAAAACTACATGAGGTCTAATGAATTCATCAATTTTGTGCCAATTTTATACTATTTTCTACTGTTTTTGATATAGTTATAAATTTTAACATTTTAATAAAACAAATGCAGTTTTTAAGGAGCACTTGTTAAAGTGGGTTTTAGCCTTGTGAAGTTTTTATACTATTTTTAAGAAAATCTGATGATTTGTCAATTTTGTACTGTTTTCTGCTGTTCGCAAAAAATGCAGTTTTAGCAGTTTTTAGCTTTGTGAATTTATATTAGGCTGAAAATGGTTGGAGGGCTATCTGTGAAAACCTGTGTTAATACTGTGGAATACTTTATTTTCACTGGGATTTTATTTTCGTTAAAGGTTTTTTTCTGCTAAATTAAATTCCAGTAAAAAGGGTGTTTTTCTGTACTTTACATTGAGTCTTGATACAACACTGACTTACACAGTGAAAATTAGATCCCAACATAATGCCTGAAATCTGTGAAAATAAAGTATTTTACAATATTCACTTTTTTATTGTAAGTTGCTAAATTCCTGAATTACCAGCTATTTTATCAATTTTAATATTCCATTGCAGGTTGAACAAATTTATGACTTTATAGCAGCATTTTAATGAAGGATTGTTTGATTGCAGTCTGATAAGTTTTAGGTTTATTATTCAGTGGCAAGTTGTCAATTTTTACGGTTATCTGCATGCACCAGCTACAATTTTATACAGCAATTGTGTTTGACTATAATAACTCTTTCACAACCAGTTGAAAGAGTTGATAAGATGTTTTTTAACTATTATAAATTTTGCATTTTGAATTTGTGCTTGTAATTTGCTATACGCCCATTGTGTGGCGATAGTCTGGTTTCCAGAACACACGTGTTCTATTTTACTTGCTCTGAACACTTACATTGTGTTCAAAAAGTGTTACAGTGTGCAGATGTATCAACAGTGTTCTATTTTTTATATTTTTAAACATATGTTATGCGTTCAAAAATAAAGACACTATATGTTCTAAATCTGAACACATGCGTTCTACTTTTCTTACTGAACACATACACTGCGTTCAAAAAGTGTTACAATTAAGTGTTCTAATATGTGTTCTGACACTGAACACATGACTTTAGAGTGAAGGCTACAAATAAAAGCAAGAATTGTTTTATTGATTTCTTTAATTAATATTTTTCGATACATCATGTCGAAACAAGAAACCATGTTCGAAGTTACGTGGTGGAACTACACGTTGATAAAGTCACCTTGTCGACTCACACGAAACAAGGAGTTCATGGCAACAGAGTCACTGAATGTGAAAGGTCATAATATCTGCGTGTTCTAATTGAAGTGAACTATATGTGTCTGTGAGGGTGATAATATGAGGGTACTATTGTACATATAAAAATGAAGGCATGAATATTCATGTGGCCTAATTATTCTATTTGGCGCCATTCTCGATGTTACCAATTACATGTACTATGTTCTCACAAAATATAATTACCTCACCGCCCTAAGATCCGAGAAATAATAGTACAGCATTGCTCCATGGGTTCACAGAGTAGGGGTCACCTGTGTCAGAATTTAGAGAATAATCCGACAGACAAAAAATAATGAGACTGTGTTTAGTTTTTTACCAATCATGGTGTAGTTGGAATTATCTGACATTCGGAAATTTTAAACACTTTTAATAATGATGTAAATAAAGACAAGAACCGTTACATTGATTCATTAATCGCACACACGTCCAGAGTAATTTAATAATTTCCCGAAGTTATGAATACAATTGGCATCAGTCCCAGTTGCCATGTGGAGTGTTGTAATTTGTTTGCGGTGTTCTTGAAGATTGATCAGTACTTTGACCTTTCGTCGCACTGGTCAGGTTATAAAATGCCAAGTTCGTCAACTCACTCGACAGTTTCAATGCACTCCACGGAATTTCATTGCGGCCATTGTACATACGTCACCACTTGAGGGCGTGTATTCCTTCACCTAGTTAGCGTTGACCTAACTTTAAAACTTGACATAGAAGAATCTGTCATTTATTTTCCATTTCATTTTTGATCGCTTAAGTAAATTTGTTGTGAGATTAAGCTTAACTCGAGATGTCCATTTAAATTACGTCGGACTTAGGCCGCTTTAGCGCGCTCACACTTGTATCTGTTAATAGCCAGCTGAGTGTGGCTTGGTTCTCGCGGAGTTTCGATTGTCAGTTGTTCGCATTCAAGTTGTCTGTGACACTTTATTAAAACATAAACAAGTTGAAAATACATAACTAACTAACCTCCTGATTGAATAAGCATGTACATATGGGAATAATTAAATAGATAAATAGATAAATAAATAAATAAATAAATAAATAAATTAAATAAATAAATAAATAAATAAATAAATAAATAAATAAATAAATAAATAAATAAATAAATAAATAAATAAATAAATAAATAAATAAATACACATAAAACTCACAATGTTCAACTCACAATGCGAATTATACTGCATCATCGTAATATACATGTAACTGTGCCCAAGTGAGACAGTTGTTAATGCACACGCATTCATAACACTGCAATCAACCTCATTCATGGGAATCATGCACTACCAGCATGTACGTGAAACGCTGTCCGGTCCGGCCATGTACTAGTATATTACATATATGCTAATTAGCGGACCGTTTGAGTGTGTTCAACATAATTACTAGTGTTCACCATTGATGAACAGTACGTTATTGATCGTGGATATTATTTAAATTGTTATCAATTCTACGGGATT